TGTCCTCTGAAGATGCCGGCCACAGAGACTGGCGAAATGTTAGGAAGAACAACCTTCAGAACATGCCCAAAGAGCCCAAAAAAACTACAACAACCATTAGATCCCGGCCGTGAAAGCCTTCGCGAATACAATATTTGAGTTATTAGATTGCTGTATCTGCAGTACACTACTCTCTCCATTGTATTTCTGGAACAAGAAGTGTAGCTTTGACTTGAAATACCTGAAGTAAGACAACGGAAATCTGTATTCCAAGGCTTTCCACTTTAGCTGTTGAAATGTTCACCTCAGGTCTTCACATGGTTCTGATTACGGGGAAGCACTGGCATCCAAGGGCACTTTAATCTAAGAATGAATGGGGTTGGAGAGTCCGTTCACTTGCACATAGGAAGGAAAAGAGAGAGAGAATGTTCTCCTTCCTGCATTCTGCATAGGGGCCCAGCTCCATTCAATCAATTAAAGGGGGGAAATTACCTATACCTGCATGTGGGATGTCAGGCAACCATCTAGTTTTGCCTGTCATGACGTAGAGGAAGGAATGAGAATGGGAAATGATCTCTTGCAGATTATACAGCATGCTAGGCCAGAATGCCTCACCTGCTAGCATTACTTGGGTGCAGGGACATAGTGAATTTTTTTGTTGGGAGGGAAGGCAATGAATGTCCTCCTGTGCTTCTGAGAATCTCCTGTATCCCAGTTGATTTCAATGTGAAATTTTGTTCTGTAGTGTAAGGAATAAGCTTAGTCCTTGGCCAAATTTTTAATATGGCCTGATGCTTTTCTCTTTATTCTAGAAAGGTTTTCCTTTACCTCTGTGTGGCACTGTACACTTTTACAAGGGGGTGAATTTCATAATGTTGAATAAGGAGGATCCCCTTAACCTGACCAAGAAAGGATACGAATTATTCATTCTGGACAGACATGGGCCACCTCACTGACATCTGGGAATGAAATGTAACAAAGGAGGCTGCAGTCAACAAACAAGGCCTTGCAATTCTGGCAGGTCTGCAAATCTTGAGAAGCTGGCCATAAATGGATCTTCTGAAAAATCGTCTGACAGACCCAGATGATTCTCAGCCAACACTGTGATGGTGTTTATTCACCCCTACATGAAGACTCTCACCTGACTGCCGAAGAACTGAAAAACAAGGCAAGAGACCGAAGACTGGGAAATCTTCCAAATGGGGGCATTTTTATCGCTCCCCCTTTTTTTTGTTGAAAAGCACAGCATTTATCTGAATGTAGCAGATTGCATTCGGCTCCCTCCCGTTGGAGCCATTAGGTGTTGCTCCCCTAATGGGGGTAGGAGGGAATCAAGTGTCCATCAGGGGCTCTTCCACTTCCTTCGCCCTCCCCCACCTTTTTAAGTGCCCTATTATAAATGCCGTTACGCTTCTCGAAGGCAGCCTGACAAGCAGGTACCTCAGCCGCAGGTTAGAAGGGAAATTTTTGCTCAGCTGCAAACAAAAGGAGGAGCAAGCACAAAGGTGGAAGAGAGGGAGCAAGCTGAGGAAGAAGAGGTGTCTTCGTTTGGCCACACAGAGTAGACTTCGGTCCAGATGGGTGGGGTATAATTTGAATAAATAAATAAATCATTTGCTCCCCCTTCACTGCTGATTCACCAAGAGATTCAGAAAGTCTTGAGGCAGGAACATAGAGTCAGGGATTGTGTCCCTGTTTGTCCCCATTCTTACCAAGACAAGCCTAATGTTATCTGCACAGGAGAGAAGCTGGCAAATTCCATGATCAGTCAGATGAGTTTCAGCGAACAAATGCTCATGAGTGGTGTCCACGTGTATTAACCTTTCTCTGTGTGCCATTTTGCTGATCTAAATTATCGAACAGAAGCTTTTAGCCCTACTGAGAAGTGTTGGGGAAGGGAATAGTGTGTGTGTGTATGTGTGTGTGTGAGAGATATATATATATACAAGTACCAACATCCACCCATCCCTGTTGAACTAAAAGGTTCAGGGCCCAAATTATACTCAGAAAAGGGCAGGAGGAGAGAAGATTAAAGATCCACTCTCCAGCACGGCATCATTCCTTCAGCAACCAAATTAGCAGCTCTCCCCATGACTGTTTATAAAAATCAAAAAAAGGAAAAAAAGCTTTGCTTTTAGTCATATGCGTTTACAGAATGCTTTAATTTCCTCTCAATACTTGAGATGCTAAATAAAATACCTCATTTTTAAAAAAACCATCACAAGGTATTTTCCTTGAAAATAAATTCTTTTGCTTTTTTAATTTTTTTGTCATTTTAAGGCAATAAATTAGAAGATGAAATAAACCACATTATTTCTGCAATGGCATTATGTTAGTGACAGTTTTGTCCTGTATGTGGAAAAAGGACAGCCACTGTCTCCTCTGAAAAAGAAATCTTGATAAGAAGTTGTCATTCATTTTTATGCTTGAATATTTTTTCAGGAAGACAATATTGTTCTATAAAAGTTAGCTCAATTATGGAAGAAAGTTAGTAATATATGTTAGTTTGAAAGTAACTGCAAGGACAGGAAATGCAGAAATGCTAAGTAAGTTGCAAACATTTACCTGTTACACCTGATTGGACCTCTATAAAGGTGGGATGGGAAAGATATCTCGGATGTTGCAGGACTGAAACTCCCATCATCCCTTGCCTTTAGGTAAGCTGGCTAGGGCTGATGCGAGTTGCAGTTCAGTATCTAGTGGGCTACTGGTACCTTATGCCTGCTGACACATGTAAATGTATGTCAGACCTGAGCTGTGAAATAACATGCAGTCAATGGTAATCACAACATGCAGCACCCCCTCTCCTCCGACAGGCTATGTTTTGTGTGTATTGCTGTGCACCTGATTTTGTAAGGAGTGCATGAAGTGCCACCTGCCAGAGAGGAAAAGGGTTGCGTGATATCCATGCATTTCCCAACAATTATTCTGGCCATGGTGTTGCTGGACTGATGAGAATTATTGTATGCAGTCCATCACACAGAGCCACTGATGATTTCTAGGCAGAACATGAATGCACGATAATATTTTGTAAATGGAAGTGGAAAAAAGATACTTGGCAGAAGGATTCTTTTTCATACTTTCAGAGGAGATTTTGAGTGGTAGAAATGTAATTTTTTTTCCTTTTAACAGCTAAAAACACAAAAGGCTAGGTCTGGAATCCTGTTTGTAACTGTGGAGTACAACAAGTTCTCAGGTGCACAGCTCTATGCCATTTCCCGCTTTCTAGTTACAGATCACCTAGGTGGTTGCACAAAGAATTCATGAAGTTCCCTTATGCAAATGCCTCAAAACAGACAAGCTGTGCATGGAATGGGCTGTTTATGACTGTGAGCAGGAGCACCCCTATCAAGGTGTAACTCCATTGAACTTAGCATAAATGTGCTAGTGCAACCCTACATCACTGTGGTCCATCACAGAGATCCACTGATGAGTTTTGGGTAGGTGAACAAGAAGCCAGAAATGCTGTCATCATTCCTGTCGGCCGAAAGAACTCCCTGCGTTGACATGAAGGGGAACACCGACATGCACCAGAAATCCGTGAATGTGCAGCGAGAGATCTCTATATCAGGTTGAGTATACATCTGATTCTCCAGTGAGTTTAGAACTGCATGAGATGGTTGTTATCGGCCTTTACCTTATTTGTTCACTGCTGTTCATCTTGTGTTCCCTTGAACCCCAATCTGTAGCTCTCTTGTAGATTAAACAAAAGCTGATAATACGACAAAAGGACCAAACATGCAAACTAAAGGAGCATGTCAGACCACAAACACATTGTGTAAATGGAAATATAACACACACGACCTGTAAATACAAATTGATTCCATCAGGTTTACTGTACAGTTCTTTAGTAACAGACAGTTGAAAAGAGAGTTTCACTTGACAGCAAAATAAACTTTAGAGGGAACAAAATGATGACATCTTGTCCTGGAAAACAGCGAGAGGTAATATATCAAGGAGCTAAAATTTTCTTTGGCATGGTCAGGGGGGAGAAAGAATGGCCAAACTATTGTTCTACTGCAGCCAACGCCATGTCAACTTTGCACAGTCTTCTCTTTTTAAAAAAAAATTATAAATGTTGAGTTTTCCCCCCAATATGCCTTCGTATAAATATTTTATTCAATATGTTGCATCTGTGTATACAACAAAATGGTAATAAACACAAACTGTACAATGCAGACAAACTCGTTGCTTATATGTATGTCAGTTTAGTAGTACATACCAACAGGTCTGATACATATAGCCTACTACATGCAGTTCATCATTACCATCCTCTTCCCATGCAACAGATGAGACAAGAGACAAACTTAAAAGCATAACCAAAGGACAGGGAACAGAGAATCCTCTCTATGCTGAAGTGGATCTTCAAAATAAGGTCCTTCTAGACAAGAGAAACCAACACCCATGGCAGCAACCTATGTAAAGGACAAACAGAATGTGTGCATGTGTATATGTGTTCTACTTACAGCACAGATCCATCATTTACAAAAAAATGAAATCAGTCTTAATAGTATATTAACTAATTACCGAGATGGAAATATGAGTATAGACATCAGAAATGTAAGTGCATGTGTGGCAAAGGTGATCAGTTACAGTTTCCCGAACCTGATCTTGTGCCCCCTCCCCCGCCTGCAAAGTTTTGCCATACATGGAAAAATGAAGAAATGCCACTGCAGGATGGGGGTGCCGAACTTTATGCTACAAGTGAATGCAATCTGGATTAAGATGTGGGCCTTTGCTGGCCTTATAAAATTAGTTGCATGAGCTGATATTTTGATGTCTTCTGCCTTTTGAAGTCAGCTGCAAATCCCAAATCTGCCCCTCTTCCCCTTCATAAAACAATATGAAATTTGGGGAAATAAAAGATACGTTTCACATCTCTTTATTTTGCTTTTCTGTTTCAGAGAATTCCAGTTTTTCTTTTGATTCAGGTTCCACAGTACAGAAACGTAATTGCCTATTTTAAAATTAAAGTAAGCAGGCTCCAGGATCTGGTGGTCTAGATATTGACACAAAACATTCACAGTTTAGAGAATAAAATAAGGAGCATTGACAGAGCTGGGCAGAGAGAGACCTCAGTTTTATTACTGCATATGGTGCCTGTGTGAATAGGTGATACCTTAACATCCAATAAATCCCAAGGGATGGGAAGTTCCTTCCCTCTGCCTCCATCCATGGAAAAATAAAAAGGGCCTTCACAAAATGATCCTCTGAGAAATGTCTTCTCTGGAAGCCGCTAGGCAAAGTGATTTAATTTCCTGAACATGCTGTTTTCATTACTTTAATATGCTTCTCTGGTTATTCTCTCTCCTCCCCCACCCTCATCCCCCAATTTGGGGCATTATTAAATGTTTGAGAACTTCTGTTATGCTTCACTTATCTGGCGAAAAGAAACTAACTTTAAATAGTCTTTTGTTTTAAATGGAAATATAAAAAGAAAAATAAATTAAATGGTAAAATTCCTACTTTGTATTTTTTCTAATCAAACAGTAATACATAACCTAGTTGGACGTATGTGAATTATTTACTTATTAAAACAGAAGCTAATATGATGACCTTGTAAGCATGAAGAACTAATCAATCAATCAATCTATCTATAACCAACTAAGCAGGCTGGAAATCTGAAAAGACCATCATGGATGTTAATGTAAACCAAATTTTGACAGCTGCTCTTAAAAATGAAATGAGAAATAAACAAAATATGAACATCTAGCAATCTTGTACATAGTTTTCCAGAACCAAGGTACATTTTGGTCCATATCACCTTCAGCTTTTATTACATTTTCTAATTATCACGTTTTTGATCTTTTCATCTATTGAAGGCTCTTACAGCTTTTGCGTCTCCCCCCCCCCCTTGAAGCCTTTCTCCTTTTGGTTCTAGACTGGCTTCTACCCTACTATCCAGGAAATCTCAACAATGTTTATTTTATTGAACAATCCAATGAGGAAATTCTTGGCCTTGTAATCCTGTTACAATTTTCATAATTTTTATTTAGTACTATGGAAACAATACTGAGATCAAGGCAAGGCACCATAAACCTAGCAATTTGGAGGGTATAATATCCTAAGAAGCTGAATGTGGTAGTGGGGTACTGATGAAATACTACATAAGAGTATTGAACTCTGCATGCTGAGCTTTTAAAAAAGAAACATAAAGGAACTTTTTAAATATGTCTTCTTTAAAAACTTCCCTCTTGTTTTTAAACGTTGAAAATATTAAAGTATATTTTGTAACTACCCTTTGCATTGGTGCTGCAAAAAAGAACACAACTTCCTTGCCCATGCTTTGCTGAGTACGAGAGTGGACTACAGCCAAAAATAAGGATGGGATTACGTTCCATTCATTAAAAACAGGAAAAAGAGTCTATAGTTCTGAAATGGACTTAGGTAGCGCAATCCTCATTCATTTTATTTGTTTGTTTGTTTGTTTAAACTTTCAAATAATGAGGACTTATAGATGAAAAATGAGCCTTAATTCAGGCCTACAAGGCCTACAGAGTTCTTTGGACCCACTTTCCCAAAAATGTGTGGGTCTTGCTCGCTGGGCAAGGCAAATGTTACCATTACCAGTAAGCCTGTGATATGTATAAAACACACACACACAAAGAAACTTATCAGGGGTTTTTCAAACACAGGCCTCAAGGGACGGTTGACCGGCTGTGTTTGATGCTTTTTCCCTTCTCAATAATGCCAACCTCAGTGTACTCACACTGAATCCTCATTTGTAACTTTTCAGATGATAGTCCTATTCTGTGACCTGTATAATCCCTACTCGGGCTTCTGAAGGCTCCCCTGATTGCTTTTTCAGAACTAAGCCACCAGCAACATTTAAATCTGAGAGAAACACAATCCCTGCAAAGGAGTCACACAGACAGCGGAGCGAGCAGCCTCGTAAAAAAGGGGGAAGAAGAGAAAATCCATAATAGCAGAGGTTTATAGCATCTACCTAGAAATTACTTATTATTTTGTGTGCTACAAAATCGAACTCAAAACACATGGGTTTCCTGGACTCAAAAGGAGGGGGGAATTATGGGTAACTGTCAGCAGGCAGGATATCAAGTGTACTTGTGAAGTATGTCATTCACATGAGGTGTCACAGTCACAGAAAAGATATTAAAAAGGCATTCCATATCTGGTAGGGCATTCCATGGTCTGAGTTCAGCTGGTTATCCGCGTGTCTTCTTTGCAGTGGGAGGAGTTACAGGTTGAGATCTATCCGCTTGCAATAAACTTGCCTGGAAAGAGCAAAGGGCAAGCATTCGCTTGCCTCCAGCTGATCCACAGACACCAGACCGAGCCAGTCTTGCAAGGATAAAGTGCTCAGCTGTACTTAAGAGAGCTCCATAAGTCACAATACCCGCGAGGATCTGGCTATGTCGTCTTACTCTTGTTAACTGGTTTGCCTCCATTCATTATTGCCGACGCACTTGTGCTTTTACTTGGAGTCACCCCAGCCTTTGGCACTGTTTCTCCAACGTCATGCAATGAGGGTTCCCGATACATGGCAACTGCATGGGAAAAGAAAAGAATACGTGAGTAAAAATAGCAGCAAAGTTCATTCAAGCAGATTCTTGAAGGTTCAATATTTGGGCCTCCAGAATTCCTGCGTATTCAGTAACTCAGAGCTGCTGCTGCTGAGGTCCAAGGGAGTCTTAAAAACAACAACAATCATACCTGTGTTAACATTCCAGAAATTTCTTCCTTCCTACATAATTTCTGATACGTATAGTAGATTCTGAATGACTGCAAATCCAAAACCGACTTACTCAGAAATCTAATCACAACCAATGTCTTAGGTCTATTTTTTAAACACTGATTAACAATTGTATTGTCCAGTTATTTGGTTCATCACAACAAACATAAAGATATATCTCCTGTCATCAATAAAAGTCTCTCTGTAAATGGAATCAGCTTATCACAGAAAAAATAATGTTTTTTGAGGTCCACTTGCAGTCTGGAGCATTGGAGAAACTGGTTATGTTTGGGACAGGATGAAGTTAAAACCTGCAGCATCCGAAGAAGTAAGGGAAAGGTGGAGTGTGATAAGAAAATTTCAAACACAGATGAACAGTGTATAAAAGCTGAACAGCTGCACCCAAGGCTTCTGTGTCAGATACAGGACAGCAGGAGTAAATTGGTTTATTTGCTATATGAATGTACATAAAACCTGGAGTCTTATTAGTATGACTCCAAAATCTCTGGATGAGGCCTTTCCAAACCTTACTCCCAGAGGCCCTTTAATAGAAATGTGTGGGATCACTGACATGTTGAGTCCTCCTGTACTTCAATGCTAATTTGGGTCCCTCATTTGCCAGACTAGATGGCTCTGCCATTGCCAGTGGAATTTCTTGCCTGACCTCTCTCTGTATTGCTGTTCAAGGCCACTTTCTTCTACATTAACTAGTTCTATGAAAACATCCTCTTATGGGATTGGAGATGCTAATTAATACAGTGGTAATACATATCATAGCCTTGGCACTGATTCTGGGATTGAGACCTATTTTATTCAGGTTTTGAAATACTGTAGTCAGGGTGCTCCAGGGAGCAGTCATAACCTTACTGGTTCCCATATATGTCCTGCCAAATGACAACCTGACTAAATGTTCAAGTTAAATGACAAGCACCAGGATCATCACCAACTTGATGAGTAGTGATTACAGACTATGATGATTACAGGCTTGCGAATCCTGCTGTCTGTCATATTTTCATTATATGGTTCTCAGCTTAGAAACTTATTCCAAATCTTGGAACTAAAAGTTTAACTTCAATGTCAGCCTAGATATTTTTCCCTTTAAATGTGCTTTTCTATTGCCAGAATTGTGTTTGTTTCTCTGTTGCTAGGACTGACTGTTGTGCTCCTATACATTTAAATAAATTAAAATAAAACCTAAATTAAATGAAATTCAGTAAAATGAGTACTTTAATATTGTTATTAAGTTTTGGGCTTCTTAAAAGATGTTGATTCCATTGTTCATGCAATAACTATCTGGAAAAATCAATTAAAACGTTTTTTTAAAAAACAGTATGATTTTTAAAAATAAAATAAAACGCACAATAGGAAGAAAGAACATAGCTGTGTGAATCCGTGTGATGCAGTGGACACAACGTTTCTTTTGAACTGCTTAAAGCTGGAATGCAACCCTTGGCTGAGCTATGATGCCCATCATGTGGCCTTTGAGAAGATCTTATACCCCTGCTGATCTAGAACACGGAGGGTGTGCAACTGTCATAGAACCACTCTTTTATAAATTGGCAAGAGTACATGATATGTTTATGAGCTGATTTTCCAAATGAAAAGAGGTATGCCAAGAAGGCAGAAGTTGTCGAGTCAGAGATCAAGGTCAAGGCACTCTCAATTTCCAGGCTGAGAGAGTATCATGGGATAAAAAGCTTGGGCAAGGCTTTTGACTAACAAGCAGAGTGCCTTTCTAGATTGAGACCTTACTGGAAGCACAGGCTTCTTCTAGAAAGACCTCTTGGAAAAATATCTACACCTCAGAGGAGCCCACAGAGCTCAGCTTTATAAGTGTCCATCCTGAGCAGGGAAGGGTACTAGAAGCAATGTCTACCACAGTTTCACCTCTTATCAGCCCTTTCCTTTACACTCTGCCTTAATTGAGCCTCACTCCAATTCGCCCTTGCATGGCATGCTTTTTTGTTGTTGATAATTTCATGTTTGAAACCTAAACTGCTCTGGATTCTGCTTCTATATCATCCTTGCCTGCCTCACCTGTCCTCTGGAAGGATACTGCTGGCTGGAACTAGGATTGGCTGCGACCCTGTCCAGCGAGTGACCTTTTCTGGATGGTCACCTTTGCTTAAACCCTGTTAGCTAAGACAAGAACCCTGGAGTCTACTTGGCTTTGAATAGAGTGGAGCCCCTGGACACACTTAGCTCTTTGGATTCTAGCGAAAGAAGTCGCAGGCTTTCCCATCACCTCCTCTCTGATCCCAGGACTGAATCTGGAGCATTCTGCATGCAACACATGCACTTTACTACAGATCTACTGTGCTTTCACATGTGATCAACCTCAGAGCTACTGTCCTATAGGAGCAAAGCTTATAAATCATATTGTGCATACTGTACATCATACTGGGCATGAACCTTCGATCAACCTCAGAGCTACTGTCCTATAGGAGGAAAGCTTATAAATCATACCATACATACATCATACTGGGCATGAACCTTCATCACCTGGGACACCCTCAGAGGGGCCTGCAGAGAGCTCACAAGGCATGTGTTTCTCTGCTTTTCACTCAGTGCCAAAGCAATCTGAGAAATGTGAATCTGTGCAAGCTACTCACATTCCTCTGTACACGACCCCCAGCTACTGGATTTCAAGTGACTTGGCAGGACAGAGCACTGAATAGGTATATGGGGGCAACATGCTCTGATCTATCTCCCCTTGAGTTGCCCACTGTGCTTGCAAAATGACTGCCTTGTGCATGGAGAAGAAAACCAGGGCACAGCAGAGCTGTGTGTCTCTACAGGTGAGGCCTGTGCCCACATAAGCAATGAGGCTCTCAAAAGAATGCTTCGTTTTTCCAGTTTTATTTTTCAATCTTAAAAGGAAACTGCTGCTGAAGGACTTGGAATTCATTGTGTAGTTACTATGTGTGAGAGAAATATTAAAGGTCATCCTCACAGTGGCTTACACAGAAGCATTAACAGTAAAACTTTCTCAATTCTAAAGGAAATCAACCCTGAGTGCTCACTGGAGGGACAGATCCTGAAGCTGAGGCTCCAATACTTTGGCCCTCTCATGAGAAGAGAAGACTCCTTGGAAAAGACCCTAATGTTGGGAAAGTGTGAAGGCGAGAGGAGAAGGGGACGACAGAGGATGAGATGGATGGCCAGTGTCGTCGAAGCTACCAACATCAATCTGACCCAACCCCGGGACGCAGTAGAAGACAGGAGGGTCAGGCTCCACCAAACTAAAGCTTACCTTCCAATGGCTTCGGTAGAAAATGAGCTGCTGGTTTTGTTTTCTTCACTCTGTTCCCTTTCATGACTTGCCCTTCTTTATTGAGCCCCAAGAACCAGGCCCGACCCGACTCCTGTTGTCTGTAGAGCATTGATGAGTAGATTACATAATAATTTTCAAAAACAGACTCCTTAAATTTGCATTCTGGTGTAAAAAGTTCCTGCAAGGAAAACAGAAAATGTCAGACAACATATCTCAACAAGGGGTCTTCTGCCCTTCTGTTTTTTTTAAACTTAACCTCCAGTTCCCAAAAGACCTCATTGGCACCCAAGAGTTACAGCCTCTAAAGAGTTCAGTTCTGTTTCCAGTGTGACATTGGGATGCACCGGCCAATTCTGTTCACGGACCTGCTACATCAGTTAAATGTGATGAAAGGCAGTACAAGAGCACAACGTGAAGAAGATAAGGTGGAATCAATATATACTGTTAAGGAACTATCCAGAGTACTGGGCATAATAGGGTACATGGAGGGAGAGGAGATTATTTGAACTACATCAACTACAAAAATCTAGCAAAGAACAATTTTTCTTGCTTAATAAACATTCCCTGTCATTGCTCAAAGGATTGATGGTGCATGCATGCAAGTGCACACAAAGCCAATGTGTGTATGTAAGATTGTGTGTGCATAGGCAATGTTTTGCACCTTTTCTTCATACCAGTTTTCATATCTTAACTCTCAAAGACTATTTTAATAAATCAATTGCATGGAAAATGTTTGTTACATTCCATACAATTAATTTATGAAAATAGTCACCAGAGATGAAAGATGAAAGAGGTACAGAGATGGGATAAATTAGGTTTTTTTGGACTATAGTTCCCAACTTTACACAGCCAATATGCCACTGTTGAGAGGCTATTGGCTATGTTACCTGTGGAACTGTAGGAATTATAGTCCACAATCCAAAACTGCCACTACTCTGAAAAAGCTATATAACAAAGGTGCATAATGCTGGTTATATGCGCATGCACAAACAAATATAGACAAATCTGTGCACTTGTGCATATGTGCACATGTGCATACACATTTATCCATCCATCCAGTTAGCAACTTACACAACTCCTTTGAAAAGGTAGAATAAACTTAGGCAAACAATTCCTGTTGCTTAAAAGACCTTCTCTCAGCCATGATTCATTGCCATTCAGTAATATCTGGGTGCTAAGCAACCAGCTAACAAGAAATGTATCTGATGCAAAGCAAATACCTTTGTCAACCTGTCAGCACTAGCATCGGAAACTAAAATTCTCCAGAGTATTACTGTTCAATGGTCATTATATGAAAATAAAGTATTTTAAAATCGTATTTGCTTTCCCTGAATGACTGAATGATCAGTTGTATTTTGAAAGAAATGGAAGAGCTCTGTATACTCTAAATCCTAAACTACAGTTTTTTAAAACTGTACATGAACAAAACAACTTATCATTTCAGATTTTAATACGGCAATGCTGTGGCTCTTGACAAGGCATTCCTTGGGCCATAGGATGTTCTGGATCTCCCCAGAGAGGAGGAAATCTAATCTCATCAATCATCTCTCAGACTCTCTTGACACTCTGCAGCCTTTGTCTCTTCAGTACTGATCGAGGAAGATGGGAATGGACATCCTTCTAGAGCAGTGGTACCCGACCTTGGGTACCCAGGTGTTCTTGGACTACAACTCCCAGAAAGCCTGGCCAGTACAAGTAGTGGTGAAGGCTTCTTGGAGTTTTAGTCCAAAGACATCTGGACATCCAAGGCTGGGAACCACTGTCACAAGAAGATTAGGATGGACCAACAGGATCTGTAGTCTTCCCATTTTACTTTCACATTCCTAGCAATAAGGGAGAGGTGCACTAGCTGAGGAGCAGCCAATGAAAGGGAAATCGTTCAAAATTGTTCAAAGGTTTTTGGAAAATCTTCCCTTCCTTTCTGCCAAATCCTACCACTACCAGTACTACCACCACACATCACACAGCAAGGGTTAATCCGGGACGGATACACCTCGCTGTGCAAGGCACCACTGTACTGAAGAATAATACTGTATGTGAGAAACAGCAAATACATTGGTAACATTACTCTGCCCATTACTGAAGAATAATACTGTACGTGAGAAACGGCAGCATATGTTTGCTATGCCTTACTAGTCATTTCTACCAGGCTACTGAGATGACCATTACAGTATATAAATAAATATCCAGAAAATATGTGCAATCTGCACTAATTTGAATACAATGCAGTCATAATTAAACATTCTGTTTAATCTTTATTCCAGGGGGTGCGGTTTGTGCATTTTCTAAAATTTTGCTAAGTGAGGTCAAAGGGGTCCTAGCTTCAGCTAGACCAGTGGTTCTTAACCTTTGTTACTCGGATGCTTTTGAACTGCAACTCCCAGAAACCCCAGTCAGGACAGCTGGTGGTGAAGGCTTCTGGGAGTTGCAGTCCAAAACTCCTGAGTAACCCAAGGTTAAGAACCAGTGAGCTAGACTGTCACACTCACATATGTACACACAGAAACAGGTAGAGAGAGATAGACAGGTTTTGGATCCAAACTAGTTAGTTGTGCTTTAATTAGTCACAACTAACTTCTCCCATTGGCCTTGCTGAAAATAAATCATGACTGGTTTTGGGGGAACTTCGCTGGACTATAGCGGGAGAGAAACAGATATGGACTGACCTGTGGAATTCCATCACAAAATTTCTAATTATCCTTTAATCCCGGTGTTCTGGGGGCAGGGAAACTCTTGTTTTTATTACTTCCGCAGCTACAGCAGATTGTACTGTCAGTCCTTTATTTTCTACTCCTATGATACAGCTCCTCTGTATGTACAGAGGCTCTGCAAAGAGAGGATGGCCTTCTGACCTTTGTCCTTGGCAGGGATAGGCTGCTAGATATGCCCAAGGTCAGAATGCACCAACTCTGCCCTTGGACAACTAAGAGAACACAAAAGAAGGGCAGGAGAAGATGGGGGCAGTGGGCCCTAGTGGCATCTACCTGCCCTTTTTGTCACCAGGCATGCGGGATAGTCTCCAAGCATAAGTAATTATGTCCTATAAAGATTGTCTATGGTACTTCACAGAATCCATAACCAATAGAGATTTGTTCTTGAACATACGCGATATTTGGCTCATGATCAGCTGTGTTTGTACATAATAATGTTTAATGGCTTGTAAATAATATTTTAAAATTACCGAGGTGATGGATGTTAGGACCACGTTTTGCTCTGCACAAATACTTATACATTCTGCATTCCAGCCTTTGTCCTTGCTTAACCCGGCTCAGCTCTCCTCGGGGTATCAATCATGTAGCCTCCTCCTGCTTTTACTGTTCTTGGGATTCCCCAGCGAAGCAGAATAGGGAATCCATGACATTTTAGCTGACTTGTGTACTTTGACTAAAGCGATACATTTTCAAAGCCCAGTTAGTTGGCAGGTGAAAATCCACAGAATCCTGCACTTTTGCAAAACTCAGCTGAAAAAAATGATGGACTGACAAAATATTGAATGCTCTGAGGTATATTGCATGCTACATTTCACTTCCTCCTGGAACTGCTGCTGGTACTCCGACTAATTTCTCCTAGCTGCAGCCTAAATTAGTTGAAAGTCGCCCAATTTTAACAGATTCAAAGGAACTCATATCCCCGTAGGTGGGTTAGCAATTCTATAATTTTCCCTATGGGTTTCTCTTTATGTCCTTTTCTTTCTGGTTCATTTTATGCCTCCCCACCCCCGACTGTTTTTTTCTTTTTTTGGAGGGGGTGCCTGTCTTTTGAGGGACATGTGAATGCTTTAAAAAGATAGGTCTATGCACACACAGTCTGAAGATGCCTGCCTTGAGCCCATGAGACATTATGAGACATAAATCAGAATAAATGAACAATTCCGCACGTACATTTTTTTAAAAATGTGACACTACTCCTGAGTAGCCCAGAATATTTCCATGTAAAATGATGCAAAGCTTGTGCAGCCCTTAGTTCATATGGAATATGGCCATCCCTATTAATAGGTGTTGAACTCAAGTAACTGCTTCTCTGGGCAGTAGGTTTTGGGATATCATAACAAGGCAGCAACTTGCTCCTTACTATTTTTTTTTTTTTTAAATCAAGGACAGGGAGAAATGCTAATAGGATTTTCTGTCACGTAACACTGTAACTTATCTAACTTATGGTTAATCATCATCTTAGAACTGCAGAGCTGCAAGGGACTCTATAGATCATCGAGTCAAGCACTTGGGCGGCATATAAATAAAATAAATAAATAAATAAATAAATAAGGAGGCACAGCGGGGAATCGAACTTCCAACCGCAGCCAGATGCCTAAACCACTAAGCTGTCCAGCAGCTCCTCTCTGACCCTTGATTTGTGTGGGTGGAGGTCGCCATCTGCTGTGCTGCCATTTTTAGACAAGCATTTTGTTAAGGGAAAAATAAACGGATTGGTATTAATATCACTTCCAATGCAGAGGAAATACATTTGCCCACAGTTTGTTCCACATGTTATTGGTAGGAAAATGTGCCTGTTTGTCTAGTCATTAACACCTGCAGGGCCCTCAAAACTGAAAAAGTGTGCTATGACTGTGTGAGTGCTGGCTGCAGCATTATGTAGGTTAATTGATTATTAATTAAAGAACATTACAGTACTAGCTAACTACGGACTCGGTCATCCTGGCAATAGGAACCACTGTTGAATCAGGTTTTCTTATATGAAATTGTCTACAACAATCTCAACTACATGATGCATGCAGAAGCACAGGTTTTTGTGCCCAAGAATTGTGTTGTTTTTTAAATCGGAATCACCTAGTGATTCACTGCTTCCTCTTCTTTCTAGTCCCTCAGCCTGCAAGTTAGTCCTACTGTCAAACAACCATTCAGCTAGTGAATGGTTACTTGACTGGAGATGTACACTGTCCTGCCCCCATTGATAAATAACAGTGGGTTCCCCACTGCAAGAGGACAAACCTGCATTGGAAGAAGCTCATCTGTAGCTTCAAAAGTAAAGTCAGAACAAAATATAAGATGTATGTTCTAGCATTGAAGAAAAAGAGAAAGTTGGTTTACATTTTAACATTGTCATCCTAGAGCTCTCTGGACTGAGGAACTGCTTAATAAATACAAGGAGAATACATCCTATTCAAGATTTGTGTGAGAGTAAAGCGCATGCAAGAATGAACAGAACTTCACCTTGAGATAC